TTACCGAATACTTACCATAAAACCTTATTATAGGCATGCATTTATATCACTTTGAATTAATTCTTGCGATCTCTTGATGATAAACACTCTACTGTGTATTTCATTTCTACAAAATTTTATACCAGCACTTAAAGATTATTCGTAGCCTACATATCGTGGACTTGTCATACGAGTAAATCTGACTGCAGGTATACACTGGAAACTAGCATTAAATGCATTTTACTACCCTGATTCAATGCATATGATCATTCCATGGTAGATATAAGTACTTTATTACAAAGACGATCTCTGCAAATCAGTGATTGCTTACACAACATTACTTAATGTATTGAATGCTGATTATAACATAGCGCTCTACTATCGATATGCATTTAAGAATGGCATTTGGTGCACTTGCATCACCTCCAATTAATCGATGTGATCTCCCTGCTAACTGAATTTGCATGCTATATGCTCTAGGCAAATAAATTATTGTAGCATAAATTGCCCAGCATAAACTGAAATATCATACTCAATAAACCAGTTGCACAAAGTATCACGAGCGAGGAAATGCAACGGTTAACCTACTATTGCGGTTTGATCATCAAGAGTTTACAGTAAAAAAACTTTATCTCCTAAAAATAATAGCATGCATAAGGCACCTAGTATTCAAATCGTTCACCAAAGTACTAGCTTTCGACCTTCATCTCGTATTATAGATACCACTGATGACCTAACATTAACTTTACTATATATATATAAATAAAATCGTTGTGGCACATTTAATTAATGTCGATGGATATTACAAACTATAGAAGTCCTGGATCTTGACTCAATTTAAAAAGACATCTTATAGTAAACACTTAATCCATTATTTTATAAGTGTATTGCAAGATTATCACGTCCAATTTTTAATCCATTATTAAAATTAGGCAAGTATTCACATAACAGAGTCATTGCAAATATATTTGAATAGTATTTATGCCACAGTGCTTACTATGTTATATCTTACATTCATTATTGTAAGCATAGATCACTTACTTAACTATGTAGATATTTATTAATTATGAACTATCTCGACTGACTAATCTTCCATTCTGCTCTTTTCGTTAGCTAAAAACTACAGCCAGACAGCCTAAAAAGTAATCGCATACAATGTAAAATATATCTTGGATTAATATAATGAACCTTTGATCAATATCTTTGCTTAATATCAATGATCACTATGCTAAGACAGCTAATACCTTTCACTTGCTACATTGTTTCCATATGACCCTTCCATCTAATATCAATAGAGTATTTTCTATAGCATAGATCACTTACTTAACTAGGCATACATTAATTAATTATTAACTATCTTAACTAATTGTTCTTTCATGCCTTTTTTTCATTAAGCAAAAACACAGCTTGAGAAGCAACCAGACGTAATATCAAACCTAGTAAGAGTTTATACATGAACCGTTTATTAATACTTTCGGTTAATAACAATGATCGTCAAATAAAGACAGCCTTCCATGTAGTACATTCATATTATGCGATGCTTAAATAAAGTAGATTAACTATTTTAATATTTTATACTACGTATAAATTTTTTGAGTATCGATATTTCTACAATTATAAATTAATCGTTCAATAATATTGAGGTCTTTTAATTTGATATAAATTTTATGATATTCATTAAAGTAGATTGTGTTTCGTTACTATGACAAAGATTGTTTATCAAACATTGCCTCTTCGCTCAAAGGAAAGGAATAGAAATTATTATGTCAGCCAAACTCATTTTCTTCCTAACGAAAGGATGGGCTTGCTTTTACTGAAACAAAACTCTATTCTTAAAGTTTTCAATCCAAAAACTTGAAAATAAAACTAACAGCGTCTAATCCTACAAGCAATGCTTCTATCTATGCAATAAATATCATCACTATGATTTTTGTTTATAATAAAATTGCAATCAGTGATCATATCCGTTAGATGGGTTACATGTGGGGAAAAAATTAGTCAACGATAGCAACAGTTAATAAAATGTACATAACATAGAAACTAATAAAAGTTGACTTGCTGTACATCAGCAATAATAAATAGAACGATTTTCTCCGAAAATTAAAAATTCATTTATAGTATTATTAAATATTAATACGCCAAAGTCAAATACTAAATTTCTTTCTGAAATATAAATTACTATCCAATGTTCCATATCATAAAACAACTATTTTATGATGAAACAAAGTAATAAAGAAAGTACTTCAATAACGTATACCGATTCCCCATATTATTGTCTTCTTTTATAGTGTACAACATCCAATGCAATTTTTCTCGTTATAAGAACTTTTATTATCATTATGCTCAACATAATAGCAATGATCAATGTCACCAGCTGCAATTGTTAACGAGTAAGTAACTGTTTTAGTTCATAGTTTTCATCTATTAAAATTTACGACACTTTTTATTGGGATAAAGTTATCTAGAAAATATGTATGGATCCAATTTATAATAAATGTACCCTTAGGTATTTCATAAAATTACTAGATGCAATAATTCATTCATTTTTATATCAAATTTTAATCCCATATTCCAATTTCTTAATGATAATTTAATAATGCACAAGACTGCTATTCAAAAATTTCCGTCTCGTATGCAAATTTGCGCATATATTGGTAGTAAGCTAAACATTTACAGTAAATTGCCGAATTGTACATTTTAACTATGTCGGCATATTACTGAGTCTTCAGTTAACGTATTCTACCACGTACATATTGCAAAATAATTGATGATCTACTGACTTACAAGCTCTGAATACTTTTCCTGCTCTAAGTTTTTTTAGATGGAGTCTCCAAGTCGATCAATGTATCAGTAGAGTACATGTAAAATATATTGTTTAAGAATAATTCTGCCCAGATTGACTTTGTTTCAATTGTAACTATTAATGAATGCTATTTTGTTCCAAATTGCTGTAGATCCTGCACGTATATATTTTCAATATGGATCAATATATGTATAGTATCAAAACGGCGGGTGCAAAGTACGTTAATTGAGAATAACTTTGCCTTAACTAATATTCCTAATCGAAAAAAATCATTACCTTTGAATATCATTCTTCCAATCTAAAACACTATCGATTCCATACCCAAAGTTAATCAATCGATACAGTAAATGTAAATAACGTTATTCAGGAATGATTCTATCTTAATTCATATATTTGAACTATAATTAATTCTGAATAGGATTGATTCTTAATTGCCAAAGATTTCGCAGATATGCTCGAATTTCAACCAAAATACGCATAATATCAATATAGTGCATGCAAAAATATGTTCTTCAAGAATCATTTTTGTTCTAAATTTTTCCAATATTATCACCTTTGATTACTTTCTCAATCTCTTGCTATAGACTACCTGCTCAAAATCAATCAACATAGTAGTTCAGTACATGCAAAGTGCATTATTCTAGAATCATTTGTCTAAACTAATATTTAGCATTATATATATCAAAAATCTAAAAAAATTTTTTAATTTAAGTGGTTATACTTTAGATTGCATGGTCAATATTGACCTGCATATCAACCTAGTATATGCAAAATATGTTATGCAAGAATCATCTAGCCTTGTCTAGGATTTTGCTATTATAAATATTGTTACTAGTAAATTTGTTTTTGATCGAAATTTTCTACAAAACCGATTACGCGCTCAAAGCAAGCAATATCTCAATATGCTACGTGCAGAATTCATTATTGTAGAATCCTTTTACTCTCATTGATATAATCTAATCATAAATAGTATTGCTTTTAAAGTTTATTTTTAACTGAATTTGCTGAACAACTTATTGCTTGCTCAAATCAACCATTACATCAATATGGTACGTGCAGAATGCTTTATGGTAGAATCATTCTACCCTAATTTTAGGGGGAAATTGAAATTATTTTCTCGGATTAATTTTTATAATCTAAATTAATACGGGCTGCATACTCAAAGTCGATCAATGTAACAGAGCAGTCGATGGAAAATACCTTATTTTAGAACCATTCTATCTCAACTGACATTTTTAAATTGCAAATATCATTACCATTGAATATCCCTCTAATTTAAATTACCTTGCTTAGATTGCAGGCTCAGGGTTGGTTAACATATCAATATAGTGTACTGTATATAAAATGTGTCATTCTTAAAAGATTTTGTCTTAACAGATGTTGAACAATTGTAAACATCATTCCAACTGCAAGCAGGTAATTCACTGAACGCATAATGATTCAGTATACATCTAGAAGTATTTAAAGGCAAATATCAACAATTTTATTATCAGATATCATCCATTCAATATTTAGTCAAAATTTCACTAGTTTAGGTAGGCCAGCCTGCTAAATGTATTGAGAGAAGAGTCGTGGATCTAGGTAGAAGAATGCTATAGATTCTATTACTAGAAAATAATTACGTAAAAGAGAAAGAGTCTACATGACGCAACAAGTACAAGACTTAACATAAAAAGTCACACAGCAATATCATCCCCTACACATGACTACGATAGCCATTATTTAGGCATACACACTCTTACACTAACTTGAATAAGTACGTAGAATTCTAATCAATAAAGTAAAATTGCATACCAATAGATTAAATAAATTAGTTAACATGATTGCGGTAAGGTATCTATATTAGGTAGCGAAAAACTGACTCTATCACATCAATGATGGAGTCTTAGCAAGGAATAAGAACGGATGGATGAAATCATCGCTGGATCAAAAGATTCAATTAATGACCACCACTAGACTGATTAATCTGATAGACTACTACTTCACCAGATGTCAAGGTAACTTGATGTAAATTAACCTCGCCAGTAAGGGCTGGATTACTCGCTAATCGAACTGTGCCGACATCAGAAACCATGGAGAGATCGCGAGTAATTGTAGCAGAGCCTAAGTTAACCGTGACAAGGAAAGCATGAGAATCAGTTGAGTGAAATCTTAAGAATGCGAATAAACTATCATCGGCATAGACAGCTCGGTAGTTCGGATAACGCCATGCCGGACTACTCTGGCGCAATGTTGCTAGGCTACGATAAAAATTGAGATGAGAATTTGGATTTGCTTTCTCAACCTTAACATTGACACTTTTGTAGTCGTCAGCAATAGGTAGCCATGTTTTAATACCAGAAGCGGAGAAACCAGCATTTGGACTATCATCCCATTGCATTGGTGTTCGCTCAGGATCACGCGAAACGGACTCATAAATGTCGGGATTTTGTAGGCCAAAAGGATCTTGAGTATCAGCTAATGAAATCTTGACATTCCGCATATTAATTTCTTCACCGTAGTAGGTAGTTGGTGTACCAGGCAAGAGCAAATTGACAGCATTGACAGCTTTAACTAATTTAGGACCACGACGATTGGAGATACGATGGTTATCGTGATTACCTACCACCCAGTTAGGCCAACCGCATGCTGGCATTTTAGACATCCAGTCATGGACTGTTTGATTTAATGTATTACCTGTCCATTTAGGCAATGTGAGTAAGAAAAAGTTGAATGGGAAATGAAATTCTGGCTGTTGTTGGGTACCATAATATAACATGATGATATCAATGGGATCGTAAGCTTCGCCAACAGCAAATCTTGGCTTGGTTTTAGAGTACTCATCAAATACAGAACGCCATTGGCGATTTAACCAGTGTAATGGTGGGAAATCAGTGGTTTCATTATGGATCAACGAGCTGTAAGGTGCATCAACACCAGGACGGTAATTCGGATCTGGGACTTCATCAGGTAATTTAGGATTTTCATAAACATGCTTAATGGCATCAATACGGAAGCCATCAACACCTTTATTTAGCCAAAATCTTAATACATTCTTCGATGCTTCAACAACTTCAGGATTAGTATAATTTAAATCGGGTTGTTCAACTAAAAATTGATGTAAATAAAATTGATTTGTCTTGTTATCGAATTCCCACATAGAGCCACTGAAAACGGATATCCAATTATTGGGTGGAATAGGGTTATTATCGGCATCCATACCTTTCGGTTCTGCCCACATGTACCATTGACGTTTAGGATTATTTAAACTCGATCTACTTTCAATAAACCATTCATGTTGGTCAGATGAATGATTGGGTACGAAATCAAGAATTAATTTAATTCCTTGCTTTTGCATAGCAGCTAATAAACTATCGAAATCAGCCATGTTACCAAAAATAGGATCGACATCCGTATAATCGGACACATCATAACCGAAATCTTTCATCGGTGATTTAAACATAGGACTTAACCACACTGCATCAACATGAATATCTTTGAAATGGCTTAAACGTTGTTCAATCCCTTTCAAATCGCCAACACCATCGTTATTACTGTCTTGGAATGATCGAGGGTAAATTTGATAGATAATGCTGGTTTGCCACCATTGTAAGTTTTGATCACATGTTGGGTGGTAGGTAAATTCCCTTCCACGTAAATTAGTCTTCAAGCTATTGCTAGGTCCAGTCGTGAAAGCAACCAATAACAGGATTGCAGCTCCAATGATACAAATTACGAGGAAGACGAAAACATAGCATCGTCTTCTTCTGTTGCGATACGCAGCTTCTTCCGTATCCAATGTTCCGTCCTCTATCTTTACTGAGGCCACGTCAGCCATTTTGATCTTGAATAGTATCAACCAAAGAATCATAAAAGAGAAATTACAAATTCGAGGTTAATTATTATAACGCGTACCGGTATGTGGCTACATGGCTTTTGGATGCTGTTATACCTATGCACTTAACATACTGCTAAGCAACTAATGCTGCTTTAATGAATGGCATAGTCAGTTATGTATTACGTAAATGTTGCTGGTTCTTCAGTATGTGGATAAAAGAGAAGGCATTTATAAATAGCAATCTAATTATTGCTAAAGAATCATTCAATCTCTGAAGATTGAGCTATTCCGGGTATGCGTTATAGTGCTGTGCTACGAGTGACAATTTCAGATATGCATTATAAAGTTGGGTTGGTTGAGAAACATATGGGAAAGTGTAGGCGCTGCACTCAAGGTACTTTTAAATCATTTCCTAGCTCGACGACATTAACCAGCTTTGCATTAGTAGTAAATATCAATAGACAATTTTTAAGACTTTGCTAATTGGGAAATATGCAAGAAAACCGAGATGCAGATAAGTATAGAAATATTTAAATTGCATAACATTTACTGATCTTTCCTTAAAATGGATAACAGTTATTGGTCTTGCATTTGTGGCAAATACGAAAATACACGTCATAGGGATTAGCTGACCGTAAAATTTAAAAGGAACACACGCTGATGCATGAAAGTTTTCGTATCGTAAGATTATTACTAATTAATTTCTGACGTGATGATAGTAATTAGTTTTAAACTGATGAGAAATACAGCTAAAAAAAATTAACTGGTTGCAATTCACTCACATATGGAAAATGAGAACATAAGATCCGTCTAAGCTTATAACACTTTATTAGCGGTACTGTTAGGTATAAGAATAGCTATTAGTCGACTTAAACATATTTAAGTGCTAGCAACTGCTATTATAAGTACTGTGTTTGTGTTGATGTAATTATAAGATCAAAGTATTATACTAGCATTTAACAAAGGCACCGCATGAAGGTTCGCAGACAAGATATATCATGACTATCCATAGGTGTATCGGAGTGCATACAGATACGCGTCTAATTTAAGAAATGATTGTCATCTTTTAATTTTTTGGTTATTATTTGCAACAGATTTTGGATAAATTTTAACAGTATACTGTAGTTACTGATTATAGCAGATGTGAATTTTCATTTCTTTGAACACATTATAAAATGCAGAATCTTGAGAGGAAATAATTATAAGTGTAACAGGAAAAATATAAAGTTTTTTAGAGAAAGTTATGAGTGCAGCAAATAATAAGACAGGTAAATTGTACAATCTCTTAGAAAAATAGTCATAAGCGTGGCAAATAACATGAATTGCTAAGGAAAAACTAAAGTACGATGAAAGAGTCTCTTGGCATAGAATTAAAATATTTTCTCTTAAAGGCAAAAATCATCGACTATTGAGAGTGCCACAACTGTAGTGGTCAAAGGTAAATATAATTTATGGGATATTTAATATATTTGAGGATCAATTTAGGACCAAACCTGATCTTTGCAACATTGTTAAAATGAAATTTAATCTAATCTATCATTATAAGGTGAGAATCAAGTTTAATGTGCATGGTGAGAATTTAGCACGCAACACTTTGAAAAACTAATCGACTACCAAGGATTTCACCTACCTATGGACAATCCTGATTGACTTGTCAACGAGATCAAGAGAAGCAGAAAATGATTAAAACTGTGTAGGAATAATCTTAATTAGCATGTACTTCAGATCACAGTATATGATATGATTGGCTAAGAAACATATGATACAAAAATTATGATCAACAGCGCATTAAACTGAACTTTATATTGACCCCAGCAGAAAATGCTTCCTCAAGCAATGCGTCCCATATGATAACGGCGTGCATTGAGTAAATATAATCAATAACAAATTCATAATTTTATCCAGAAGAGACAATTTAAATATGTTGTCTTAATATTAACGTGTGAATACTCACTCTATTATATGTTCGGCACGTACCGATAGAATTGAATATTTCTTTCTACGTTTAATATTTGCAAATTCAATGCCTTTAAACAAGTTTGGAATGATGACCTTTGGTTAAGGGATAATAATTCTGCCCTCATAATAATATGTTAATATTAGCTTATAGGTAATTGTAAATTAATGGCTGGATATCGATAACAGGGCTGTAGCAATATTTAATTACTTTACCATAGCTAGTATGTAGGGAACTATTCGATAAATTTGACTGTCTCGATGCCTCTCGAAGGTAAACAGGATAGCATCATACTCTGAATACTAATACTGTATCACCGTATATCAATTTGTTAGAATATAAACGCAATATTAACTTGCAATTCCTGTTTACCAGTCAAGCTAACATATACATACGTTCAAGATCCCTTTTAAAATTTGGAGTTATCGTAAACATTACAAATTAGATTATACTATTATTTTATTTGAGCAGGGGATAACCACCCGATACCGTAGTTTCTAACACAATCGCTGGATTATTCTATCCTGCGTAATCGTAGTATTCTGTTTTTCCAGTATCTTGATATTTATGGGATAACTATTACCTTGATAGTGCAAATAAATTTTGTTTATTAGCTCATGTGCTACTCACAGACCTAAACATCATCTTACTAGAGATCTACTAGATATAATTAATGCCTTAAATTATATTATAATTTAACATCGTCGAAGATTTTAAAACTATCATACTTTAAATTAGAAAATTTAAATATTCTATAGTTTGTAGTGCCCTTTACTTTTAGAAATCTCGCTAATATTGGTGCTATCATTGTTTCTTGATCCATTTAAAATTAAAAGCTTTAAGTTAAGAGCTTTAATAATACTATCATTAGCCATAAGTAAACTTTCCAGCTCAAAATATGAAAGTAAGGGACAGCTGCATGCGACGTCATAGGAGCCAAGTTACAGAAATGCTAGCCATGCAGGCTCATACTGAAAGCACAGTCCTCACAGCTGATTGATTAATTTAGTCATTTAGTCAATCGCGTACAGACGTGAAGATTAATCACACAACATTTTTAATAGTGCGATCGTTCTCCATGATGACCTAAAATTGACAAGAGTAAGATGTGATATTGTGATGCGATAGTTAACATTCATTTTATGACAGATCATTGACCATATTTTACTGTCGATAGTAGCATGATTAGGAATGAATGTGTTTTCCGATAGTAGAATTAAGACATGGGCAATGATCTGTGCAAGTATTACTAAAATTTTAGGTATACGCGTCCAAAATACTTCACCAAATGATACTATACCGCTCTACATGTCTGTAAATGCCATTGTGCAAGTATATTCTTAAAATCAATCCATGTCCTATAGGAGGACTAAACATTTCAATCTCTCTCCGATTTAATCGACTTAATTTTCTAGTTACCGCTGTAAATAAATTTGTGACAGTTTCCAGTCTTTAATCGTCAAAAGTACTCCCCCGTCCTCCCAACCTCTCAGCCATAATCGAATTTCCCCAACTTGTACCCAAAAAGAGAAGAACGTGGCTATATCCACGACACTCAACAACAACAACTATAATTATATTTCATTAATTCTAATCATATAGGTCTCAAAAATGATAAACTAGCCGGTCCTTAGCTAGCTCCAAGCTGTCGATCCACTCGTTTTATTCCGTTAAACGGAAATACTAATTTTAAACTTGCACCGTATTTACGGTAAATAATCTGTTGTCCTAGAGCTGATTATTGTCCACACTTCGACGTATGGCATTGCCCACTTCCTTCCCCTTTCCTACCCCTGGCTCCAAGCTATCGATCCACTCGTTTTGTTCTATTAAACAGAAATATTAATTATAAACTTGCATGATATGTAAATAATCTGTTATCCTAGAGTCGATTATGTCCACACTTTGACGTATGGCATCGCCCACTTCTTTCCTCTTTCCAACCCCTGATTCAGTACGTTAATCAATAAGACAACAACTTATCGTTTCGGACAACTATACAACAACTAGTACTAGCAGTCATAGCTAAATTGTATATTGCTATTCTACAACTTCCTGCTAATGGGACTAACGATTTGAAATTAAGAACTAAAAATAGGAAAAAAAAATTATTCCACCTCGCTGCGAGTAGGGTTCGAACCTACGCGGGAAGATCCCATTGGATTTCAAGTCCAACGCCTTAACCACTCGGCCATCGCAGCCTACTCCCATGTCTGATGTTAATTTTTGTATTTGAAAAGTAGAGTACTGTTCGGGCGTGTGGATTTTGGAGACTGTACCGTAGGCTCTAAACTGTACGGAAGGTAGTGTTCGATACAGCAATATTCCTTAGTGTTCATTATATCACAAAGTCAAGCTAGAGATCGATAGGCAATTCCGACGGTAGATTTACAATATAAAGCACTGTAAAAGTTTTTTCTTCACTCTATTGTTTGGAGGTTTGTACGCATGCCTGACAATGATCTCTATGGCAACGTAAACTCTAACTTTCCTCAGCGATATCCTTTACAGGCGATAGACTAGAGGCGATGATGTACAGTAAATGATGCTCTATCTCATCAACTACGAGAAATACAATAACTGCTGTTAATACAATATACGTATATTACAAACACTGGCTGTTACAGTAAACTGAAAGTCAGGATAAGTGGATTAATAAAGTTCATCGAGATACTAATAAGCATTTCGCAATTGGATCTTACATTATAATTAAAGGTAAATTACTCCCAATAGTTGTAGTAAATGTATGGATTATCAGTAATTTTGTACCAGTACTGTGCATCGCTTCATAACAAAAATAGCTAGTACATTTAGTAATCTGAAAACAGTTGTAAATTTATCGTTGTAAATATTCAATTGCAGATATTCACATATATATCATTAATTAGATATAATCTGCAATAAATGCTTATTCGTACTGTTACTAATAGCAAATTCATCAAGATGCAAAATATTGAAGAAAAATCGCCGTCGATTGAAGACATTAGAAGCAAGTTATTAATTCGTGTATTCATTAATAACTGTGATACTTATATTGGCCATAATATTGCAGAGGTAACTACAACTACATCGACAGTTGATATAGAGAGAGAAAGTTGATTTATGATGTGCAATAATACGTAAATCCTTTGCATTAGTGATGCTTTATTTGTATCTAAATGTAAATCTGAATATATCCAAATACAACTGATGATCCTTGAGTTTGCTAAATGCCAAAAGCACTCTTAATATCTAGCAGAGCTGTTGTATTATCTTAGAAATAGTGACGATATTTTTAATTCCACGATTTAAATAGTGATGGTCACATTAGCTTAAAGTTTGTCTATAAAATAGTGCTCTTTAGCTGATAGAAATTTTGTATGTAACAATAGATTATTGCTAATGCTATACCTCAAGCAACTTTAAAAGAAGCTACAGAACTTGATGAAGTCAACTCTCAAATAGAAGAGATAACAGATAATGTGTCAAGTGTGACAACAGACTCATTTGAAATCATTGGAACACTTAAAAATCCTTTATCTGTTAAGCCATCCTGGCTCTGCAAAGTTATCGAAGTAAATATAACATTTATATCTGTATATCAATCCGAATTTTACCATTGGCTCTAAGTACATGTCATTTTATCCGTTAATCAGTCTGATAACCCAGATGAAATATTATCAGCGATGAAGGCAAGTGACGTGATCATCTATGATATTGGTGAAGATTTTGACGCACTAGATCAAACACTGTGGGCAGTGACTAGTAAGTAAACTCAATTTTATACATAAATTAAACTTGTTGCAAATGGTAAAATTTGTAGACAGTTTGTCGTACAAGAGTTTATCATACTCGATTAAATGACAAAAATCTGCGATATAACCCCTAATGTCATTTATTTTCTCACCCTTCAGTCTTAAAAAGTGAAGCGCCTACTTTTGAGACGTTAAAACTATTTATTTGCCTCTCCACTATTATGACATGGGTCAAAACTAAGCCACTAGATCCGGTATAAATTTTATATTTGAAAGAGTGATAAAGCTATATCTACAATAAGTTTTTTCAGAATACGCTAACAAGTATTGCTTTTCTATAGTATGATCGTGAATTAACGTTATCAGAAGAAGATTTTAAGCGACGCATACCACATCCAAACTTTCATCGACAACTACAGTAATTATCATAATAAAATTATATAGCTTGCTTAGTTTAAAAGGATAACGTCAAATATACGACTAAGAAATTGATCATTTTGGTATAACCATAATATTCAACTGAAATTGTCGTCGTTTTCTTATAGGATCGAAAAGTGTGTCATGGCTTCATCGGTTAGTCTATCACTTGTCAAATTTATCCAAGAAATTGAAACATCAGAAAATAATTTTATTACAATTTTTTTAATAACAGAACAAGGAAAACTTCATAACCTATGTTCTTGCTTGTGGATTAGTTTATGGACATGAAGAAAACATCTTTCATTATCTGTTTAAAGTAATTATAACTGTAATATTTTAATTTTAGCTAGTCTGCTATGAAGCAATTCTGATTCATCACAATTTATTCTAACTCAATCTTGGACATATAGGATGCATGGTTATCCAAGCAAGCTCTCGACTGCTACGGAAATGGAAGAAATGTTATACCTACAATACATGTTAAAGATTTAACAAGGTATTTTTATAAATTGCCGGAGATTTGTAATTTAATTCTAACCATCACAGAAGCTATAAAGGTTTCTCGCCAGTTAGATCTTAACCCACTATTATGCTAAGGTATGAATTCTTTTATTAGCATTGTTCTGAATGTCATTGATCGAAAACCTAAAATAAGATATTTGGTCGCGGTTGATAATTCTAACAATAACCTAAAAGAAATCGTCAAGGTTAGGAAAATATATAATAGATTTCAATTTGACAATAACGCAAGAACTGGATTAATTTACTTTCGAATTAGACTTGTGAAGATTAGCATACGCTAAAGTTGATAGGTAGTTAATCTATTTGAGATTACTGATTTTTACTGTTTTAAATTAGAGTATCAGTTATTATCTTGGAACCGGAAAAGTTAACTACATATCTAAAGAAGATGCTTTGCTTAACGAATCATTACCTGTAGGTTTGCTTGAATCAGTTTTTTTGCTATTTAAGTCAAATTTCTGAAAAGCTTGTTTTAGAGCCTAATATAATGTTTTAAGAGGTTTCTATTTTAGTCCTTAAAACAAATCTTTTTTATTTTATTAGCAAAATGAATTTGATAAAATTGTAGTCAATTTGCGGATTGAAGGCATATATATTAAGGAGCATATGAATATTGAATGGGTAGCCTTAGTAAGTTAAAATTACTTAAGCTATGAATTAGCAAATTTATGCCTTATAGCGACCATCTAAATCTCATATTTAAACAGTCTGGTATGGTGGACAATATGAAGAAAATGATTAAAGAATTTAAGGAATATAGAAATTTATCGGTAGGGTAATGTTTGTAACCTCTAAGCAAGACCTAGTTGAGATTAATTATTCTTTCTGTATATTTAAAGCTTTCATGATAGTATTTTTTAGTTTACAGTATAAAATAAAGTTTAGCTTATCAATCGATTTATTTAATATATAGTCTTTACAACCATAATATTGTACTTTATAAATGTGTTGAAAAATTGAAATCTTTACTTTAGAAAGTTTTGTAGATAATTGCATGGCTTAATCTCCTTCCAATCTTATATCATGGATAAATTTTATCTATTTTATCTATAGAAACCAATTAAGATTTGTGTTCTTGGACCACCAGCGGTGGGAAAATCCAAAATTTCCCAGCAACTAACTGAATATTATCATATTCATCATATCACGATTGGAGAAGTTATATCTGAAGCGGTCGAAAATCTGGTAAATTAAGAATAAAGTTAAATTTTGCTCTAATTTTGCACTGATCTTAATCAGTTTACATATATAATCATACCTTTAGTTATTTTTTGACGTTAGCCTTGACTGTACAGCTCACTTAAATCTAATTATATTTATATTTGATATAGAAATTCTTCTCCTATCCGACTATTGCTGTATTTACTGCAATCCTAATGATGATTTTTGCTTATGAATCATAGGAACAATCTGCAGCTAGATCTGAAAGTGAATTATCGGAAAGAGAGCACGAACAGTATAATCAGGATAAAGAATTGTTAGAGGCTTTAAAAGAAAATAAAGAAAATAATAATAGTAAGGACATCATTTGGCTTCCTGTTTAAACTTTACTAGGTCTTTGAAACCAAAAATTGAAGATCTAATTTACAAAACTAATCCTTTTTTATTTAGATCGATATGATGATCATTATGTTCATCGATTTTTACGTAAAAAACTTAAATCGATGTCATGTAAGAATCAGGTAAACTACCAATTATAATGTTCTAGTGTAAAGAACATTACATGACTTATGCTACATCATAAATTCTTTCAAAATAAATCGGTCTAATCTTATCTTACAGTAATTAATTATTTCTTTTAACGTTTAGGGATTTATATTGGATGGATATCCTAAAACCTTTTCTCAAGCGCAGGACTTGTTTGCTAGTAAGTATAAAGTAAGAATAGATCATTAAAGAATCTCTAAAGTTTATTTATACTTACCATCGATACCAAAATACTATAAATCATGATCTGCAATAAGCACCTATCGTTATCTATTAATCTCTAACTTATAATTATTTCATTCTTAGACGATAGTGACGAAAATACGAATGAAGATGATAACCTGGATTATGACCCAGAAATCATGCCAGGTAGGATATTAATCCAATTTTTAATACTGACTTTATAAACGGATATGACATGTTCACTTTGTATCTAGAAATTAATAATTTAATGAGAAATGATAATAAATAAATTACATGCTTTGATAATCAATCCAATGTCATTGCAATATTTCCTTTATTCTTTACTGCCGGTGGTATAGATAATGTTATTTGGCTAGATGCAAATGATGATTATTTAAGAAATCGTGTATTGAATCTACCAGAAAAAGTCGTGCGTGGAAGCCATAGCACTGAAGAAGGTGAGAAAGCTAAATTTGTCAGAAAGTTCGCAGTTTTTCAGTTAAAAGTTTCATCAAATTATGAGCAAGATGATAATATTGATAAGCTTTTTCACAATGCCTTTAGATGCTAGCAATAATAATTAGGCGATCAGCTTCATATATCTTTAATTGTTATTAAATTTTTGTCAGCAATCGTATGTGATTAATTCAGAGTATCGATTTAAAGATTAATTACTACTTCCAAGATAGATACTAGAGTACGTAATTAACTTCTTCGACGAACAAATATACTTTGCGGATGATGAATTTTATTCGCTAGATCAGCTATTGTAATTGGACCAAAATTGAAGATTTAAATTTCTGTACGTATGTGCCATTCATTCGAAACTAGGATTCCTTCGAAGATTAGTCAAGTTCCACGAAGATAATTTGGATGAAACTGTTCAGCATTACTTTGATGATTATGCAGTCCGAGTTGATCATTATGGTAATAGTTTATTTCTTTACATCGTAGTCTAATGGAGTTTGCTCATTTTTAGAACGGATATTTGCTGTTTGATATCTCTACATTTTAAGTGCTATAACAAATTTTTGTATAGCTTGATGCTTCATCGAATGACCAGCCTATAAATTACTTCTCGTACACAAATAGATTTAACACAGGATCCATCTGATAATAGTCATAAAACCATTCGGACCATTATTGAGTTATTAGGTGCACCGAGACATTATGGTAAGTTGGCTAATAAAGTTCATTACTATTATTATTATCAGAAAATATAAACCGAATTAAATGCACATATATATATATATATCTATAATACATTACCAAAAACATTGAAAAAGTTTTTTGAAATATCTTTTATTCAATAATTACATATTTAATTTCATATTAATAGAGAAATCAGAACATTATTTAACCTTGCTAGCTGAAAAAGAAGCTAGAGAAACGGTAATTCAATTCATCACGGCCAGAAATAGAGAGACGAGTTCAACTACTAAATACCGTGAAAATAAATAGTCAAAGTCTTTTACAGTATTATATGCACGTAATTAAATTAAGTGAAATTATGATAGAAAGTAGCCTAACCACTAATATGTTTACAGATGGCAAAGAAAGAGAATCTTCGCCGTCTTCAAATGGAAAAGGAAAGGAAAGTGATAGAAGAAAGAGAGCAGATAAAATACGATATATGGGTAAATATCTTCGGGATACAGATATTAGCACAACATGGTTAAAATATCTACTATGAAGTGATATATTCAGTATAACTTCTGGCTATAGTAGTACATACCAATGAAATATTCAATTTCATGTCTGAAATAGTATGTACAGCACAGTATACGGTACTATTAGGCTACATATAGACTGTGTCTATGCTATCATTTCATGCTATCGTTATTAGCGATAAATATCATGTTGTCGCATAACTGCCAAGAGCCTATAAGATCGAGCCATAACGTAGGACTACATAATGCTAACTATTCTTTACCTATACTAGAATATATCCAGCTGCTTTTTTTTGTAGCTAATTTAAGATATTTTGCAATTTAATACGAAAATTTATACTGAAAAACGCTTAATGTCACTTGATTTATTCCTTAAACTTCGGTCTTTAAAAGCTATTTCGGTAATATAAATAGCCACGATGACACTCTTAGTCATGCTAAGAACCATTACTGTATATACGAGTAGATATAACGTCAGTGCAATGCCTATCATCATCGATTCTAATGTATTCCTGTCAGTCAAAGCTAACTAGCCCGAAATTTTCCATAGAAATCAAATAAAGAACGAGATATTGCTCAGGAGAAAGAAGCTTTGGATGACAGATCGCTGCCTATTAAAAGATATTTAATGAGACATGTTTTGCCTACCTTAACGCAAGGATTGATTGAATGTTGCCGGCATCGACCAGATGATCCTATCGATTACTTAGTAAGTTCATTTTCTGGCCTTTCTTGTAGATCAATTGCATCTGCTTATAAGTTGCTGAATTAATTTCAATTTTGATACTGGTCATTCTTAAATACTTACTTAATATTATAATTTATCCGATAATATTCGCAATATAAATACCTAGAAAGACTATCATATTTTGTCGCTTTTCTTAAAGATTACTGTTGATTGGCGAAGTTGTTGATACGGTAGATCTGCTAAATAATAATATAAGTATTGCTGATTTATTGTAATTATTACATGCTTTCTCAGAATGTATCTGAGAATCATATATTTCCAGCACCGGTATTGAACTGATGTTGAATTTCTTTGAGAAAGATTAATTTACTAAGCTTTTATTCCACCTCTTTCATTATCTTTATTAGTTTAGATGTAATTCATTATACTCAAAGATAACCTTTAGCTCAATATTATAGAAGCAAGCAGATATTTATTTAGTACTGGAAAATGCTTATTTCTAATATTTATCACTTCAGGCTGAGTTTATTTTCAAGAACAATCCGGAAATTGATATTATCTAAAGGCTCCATGGAAGTCTGCAATGTCTTACTATTACCATAAACAGTTTATATCACTTGTAATGTATAAATCATCTATCCTATCCTATACAAGTCTATGACCAGCTGGCTTCGGAATACAGCTATGCTTGACAGCGCTGTCTAATCTAGACTCTGAGTAATAGTCATCCAATTTTCTTATGTTATGATACCAATAATGGAAAGGGTTATTTTATATGCCTTACGTATACGATTAAATTCCTGGCGAAAAAGTTGTACAATAATGTTTTAAGGCATTGTCAACTATATCATGAAGCCTAAGGTTACGATGCCTTCCATGAATAACAGTCACATTTTAAATGAGGATGTTGAATGGACTAGTCTAGAAGATATTCTCATCTGTTTGCGTCTGTTTGATAGTTTGTTTCTCTTGTATATTACTAGATTTTGAGGTTTTGCTAATAAAAGTATTCTTGCTTGATCGATCGTTGAATAATCTGTTTGTTCTTGTAATTTTGAATCTAACTTTAATTTATTCCCAACAAATTATAATACGTTAATAAGATTCTATTTGTAAACAGATGACACATCGAAAATAACCATTTATTACGCTAACATACAAATCGTGTAAGCTTCACTTCTATACTACACAGGTGACGAAAACTAAAACAATATACTGTAATTATTACATCAGAGATGAACTTTAGATAGAAAAATCACTTATCCAACAAACTTTTGGCTGCAGTAGTAGCACACAAATATTAGACTTCTATACTACACAGGTGACGAAAGCTAAAACAATATAATTATTACATCAGAGATGAACTTTAGATAGAAAAATCACTTATCCAACAAACTTTTGGCTGCAGAAGTAGCACACAAATATTAGACTTCTATACTACACAGGTGACGAAAGCTAAAACAATATAATTATTACATCAGAGATGAACTTTAGATTGAAAAATCTCTCATCTAACAAATTTTTGGCTGCAGTAGTAGCACGCCAACATTAGAGCTATTTCATTTTAGTCATTTCCGAATCGGTATCATCGTGGCTTAGCATAAAATAAAAGATTTTTAAACTAGATTTATAGGATTCTCTTTGTAAACAAATGTGATTCATTAGCAATATAATGCAATGTAGGCTACAGGAGTAGATTAGAGAAATGGAAGAGACTGGCATACGCTATCAGCTAGGAAGAAATCTCTTGTGTGTTGACTTTATTGCTATACTTGTAAGCTGAAATCAAAGGTGAAATTTCACTATTGCATGTCTTTTGTCCCGATTTTCCGCAAGGGATTACTACTGACTTTTGGAAAGTCCAGTCATTTCTTCACTGATTTCCCACAATTTTTTAGCAGCACCATCATCGCGACCTTGTGCTGCACAGTCTTTTTCACGGCAATCGGCAAAGTATTTACCTGAAACACCATTTAAAGATTCGTCTACTGCACAATAGATTGAAGTTTGAGCTCCTTGCTTGGACGTTTTAACAAAGAGCCAATACAGAGGTGCTATTAAAGCGTGCAAGAAACCGTTCTGATTTACGGATAAATGTCGACCAAGATCTGTATTGACAGCACCTGGATGCAATGAATTGGCTGTCACTCCTGTGCCCTGTAATCTTTTGGCTAATTCACGCGTAAACAAGATATTGGCCAGTTTACTTTGAAAATAAGCCGTGTAAGAATTGTAATTTTTCTTGCCATTTAAATCATCGAAATTCATCTTGCCACCACGGTGTCCTATCGACGATACTACAACAATCCTGCTGGGTGCACATGCCTTTAATTTATCCAATAATAAATTGGTTAGTAAGAAATGGCCTATATGGTTGGTGCCAAATTGCATTTCCAATCCATCGGCAGTCTCCATGTACGGGCACCACATCACACCGGCATTATTAATTAAAATATCCAAACGATCTTCATTCTTGTTAAATTGATTAGCAAAATCACGCACGGATTGTAATGATGCAAGATCGAGCTTTCGAAAGACAATATTACTACTTCCACTCGATTCAATAATTTCCTTCACTGCTGTTGTCCCTTTACTTTCACTACGACATGCTAAAATAATCCTAGCACCTCGTTGGGCTAAATCGATGGCTGTTTCTTTGCCAATGCCGGTGTTGCCACCGGTAATGACGACGGTCTTGTTATCCAGTCGAGCTTTACTACGACATGTACCACCTTGCATATAATTTCTCACTAACAACAGAGAAATGCTCGTTACACCTACAGCAGCTGCAATTCCAGGCGTGGATAACATCTTGGATGATTAGCAGAAGCAATTTTAAACTTGCCAATTTTACTCGATTGGAAAGGAAAAGGAAGACGGATAACTGTCGTGATGATGATTATTATAATTAAATAGTGGCAATCTAGTTGCAAGGGAGAGCACCCGTGATGGAGTACTCTAGTGTAGTAGAGTGTATAAAACACAGTCAGTGACAAGAGCTCCTTGACAGGCAGAATCAGCTGGCTGATGACACAATATGAACATTGCTTTTAGTCCGAAGTAGACCTGTGTACTGCTACGTGACCTTTTGCCGGTGTGACGTCATACCAGCAGTATTGGATGGCCAGGAGTGACATTACTTTTGCTAGCGATAGACAGGACTGATGAACTTGCGCTGTGATTAAACTCATCAGTCGCTGTATCACGTCGGTGTAGCACTGTACTGCAGGATTGCTGCCTATACTACTGTAAAAGTAGGTTCAAGTCCTTGCCTTGCAAAAAGAATGTCACCATTGAATGGATGCAATTCCCCCCTCCACAGTGCTTGTAAAAAGTAAATAAGGAATAGCAAAAGTGGCTGGAAATAAATCTCATCCAGATAATGTCCTAATATCCACAAGGGTACGAGTGATGAACAGCTAGGATGGTTAAGACTAAACATCATCTTACTCCAACAACGTCATTGTAATTGCCAATGGCATTCTTACAAATCCTTTTACTGAACATTTCCTCAATTGCAAGTTGCAGCTTATAGCATACAGTAAATAAAGAGAGAATAACCTATTCCCTAAGCAATTTTTGATTGCCCAGTACTGAACACTATTAAATGATGGCACCATTTAACTACGTTATTGCAATTTCCAATGGCATTCTTACAAATCCTTTTACTCATCATTTCCCAGATTGCAAGTTGCAGTTTACAAAAATGCGTAAAATACATGTCGCATTTTTCTTGGTGCTATAATGGAAACGAGGCCAAAACTAACGACATCTGTTTTACATCTAGGTGTATAGTTTAGCATACCGTAAATAAAGAGAGAATAACCTATTCCCTAAGCAGCTTTTGATTGCCCGGCACTGAACTAGACCTGAGAAAGGTTCGGTTAAACAACGTTATTGCATTTTCCAATGGCATCCTTACAAATCCTTTTACTGATCATTTCCTAGATTGCAAGTTGCAGTTTAGAGTTTAGCATACATTAAATAAATAGAGAATAACCTATTACTGAACACTATAAAAAATGATGGTACCATTTCATCCTTGTCATTGCTTCTCCCTTCCCTTTCAAAAGGCTTGACCAAGGTTGCGAATGATTTCTATGCTCTAGGTCTGTGATATACGTGTAAGCACCCATCTTAGTTTACTCCAGGAAAATATGCTGCAATGGTACGGGCAACTCCAGTTTGTACATTAAAATTAAAGGGAAATGGTTGTCCAGTATCATTCCGTAGTGATGCTACAATAATATCCAACTGCAACGCTTCGATTGATGGTGAAAGTCGAAAAATAAAATTCTCTAGCAACTCAGTTCACTTTCTTATTGCAGTGATAGGGAAATGAAGGTTGATTTGTGGAAGAAGCAAGTTAATGCGATATGGTTTAATCTATTCGTACGAGAATCCAACGAGATGCAAACGGTTGAAATAGTCATGATGCTCGTTCATTTCGTTATGTCAATACAGTCTTTCTGCATGGTCCAAGGATCTACAAACTGACTTATATAGGGTCTATAAACGAAGTGCAGTAGAATGTGGATGATCAATATGGCTTAGCGAAAAGTAACTCATGTTAAAGAACGCCAATAAGCTGGTTAGGAGGTTTACGTAGACAACTGTTATCGTCATGAACCTCAGAGTTGTCCAGGCTTGATTTCTCTCTATGCTCTATTCGTATTTCGCATAAAAAAAAATTCACATTCCAGTAAAAAAGCGATGGGTTGCTTCTCATCCACAAATAAGGCTTGCAACGATCATTTTCCATCTCAGCTCAGCCTTGAAGGAGTGCTGTGTAGGACGAATAGCTAATCTAGTAACGTACTAAGCCGGAAAGGAACCCTTTTATCACAGCATGAATTCAATTCATACGACTGTCATTCTAAATAACTCTCTTTAATCAACAACAGATAGTCCATCATCGATGCAAAACATGAAAATCATGTTCAAGTACGAGCATGAGCTCAGACAGTCAACAAGGTATTCATGAGGAATAAACCTGAAACGAACGTAGGTGTTTATTTTATCGCTAAATACATTAAATTGACCATTAATAATTCAACAATTATTCCATTCAATCAGTTTCGTTCAGTCTACTTACAATCACTGATAGACTAGAGTACGTTTAATAATATGGAAGGCAGAGTAAAACGATCAATTAAATCCACATTTCTACCAATACCAGTGCTGCGGTAAGAAATTTACAACAATTTGCTCTTACATATTCCATGACCGTCGTCAAAAGGGTTATTAATGGTTTTTGCAAAGTCCAGTCATCTCTTCACTTAGTTCCCACAATTTTTTAGCAGCTCCATCATCACGTCCTTGTGGTGCACACTTTGCTTCTCGACAATCGGCAAAGTACTTACCGGTAACACCATCGATAGATTCATCGATTGCACAATAAATTGATGTTTGAGCTCCTTGCTTTGTCGTTTTTATGAAAAGCCAATAAAGAGGCTGTACTAGAATGTTCAAGAAGCTGTTTTGATAGATTGATAAATGACGAGCAATATCAGTCTTGACTGCACCTGGATGTAATGAATTAGCTGTCACACCAGTCCCTTGTAATCTTCTAGCTAATTCATGTGTAAATAAGACATTGGCGAGTTTACTATGGAAGTAAGCCGTGTAAGAATTGTAATTTTTCTTGCCATTTAAATCATCGAAATTCATCTTGCCAAAGGAATGCAGTTTGGCTGATACTACAACGATTCTACTTGGTGCACATGCCTTTAACTTATCCAACAATAAATTGGTCAATAAGAAATGGCCTAAATGGTTAGTTCCAAATTGCATTTCAAATCCGTCTTCAGTCTCCATATACGGACACCATAAAACGCCAGCATTATTAATTAAAATATCCAGACGATCTTCATTCTCGTTAAAATGATTAGCAAAATGACGTATGGATTGAAATGATGCTAGATCGAGCTTTCGAAAGACAACTTGAGTATTACCGCTTAATTGAATAATTTCTTTGGCAGCTGTCGTCCCTTTACTTTCATTACGACAAGCTACAATAATTCTAGCGCCTCGTTTAGCTAAATCAATGGCTGTTTCTTTCCCGATACCAGTGTTGGCTCCGGTAATAATGACTGTCTTGTTATCCAGACGAGCTTTACTTCGACAGATACTACCTTGCACAAAATATCGTAGTAGTATAAGAGAAATCGCAGTGATACCAACTACAGCAGCAATTTCAGGAGTCGATGGCATGTGAGTTCAGCAATTTCAATGTCGGTGTTAGGATGGATTTTAATTGCAAATAAACAACAGAAAGTGGCTTTGATTGATTGTATATTGGGGTACGCCACTAAAACAGTAAGGATTTTCCTGCTAAAATACGCTACTTTCTCCTGCACTATTGGAATCGATTTAGTACATTATTGAACTGCCGGTGAGTGGAAAACAACAGTTGAAAATATGTACAGAAGAGTATTTATTTCTTCAGCGATGTTTACCTGTTACGATGAGACAGACAATACAAGTGCACAAATTCTACCGTACTGTATAGTATATACGCGTATTTAGGTTCATGACCTTTTTACTGCACGTCTAAAAAATCTGTGCATGGAGTTTATACTAATTACAGTGTAGTTTGCAACTTCCAAGTTGGAATAGTTGCTGTTTCTGTTAGGTACTACAGTATTGACTTTGAGAAGAAATCTACTGAGAATTTCATATGCAACCCTTTAGCAGGCAATTGAATAGCAATTGACTAACTAACCGACTAATTAACTAAAAAGTGGTATTCAGGCACCGGCGTTTTATAGTCTCGTCAGAAACTCCTGGTGCACATAAAGTAAAATTATCCTTCTAAAGTGATAGAAATTAATATAAATATTGCCATTGAAGACTTTATAGATTGGAAGTTCATATTGATATTTTAGCTTACTGTCAATAAGGAGAGAAGAAATTATTCCTTAAGCAGCTTTTGATTGCCCTAGTACTGAACACTATAAAAATGACGGTATCATTGAACAATGTCATTGCAATTTCTAATGGCATTCTTACAAATCCTTTTACTGATCATTTCCTAGATTGCAAGTTGCAGTTGATATTTTGGCATACAGTCAATAAAGAGAGAATAAACTATTCCCTAAGTGATTGCCCCGGTACTGAACTAGACCTGAGAAACGTTTGGTTAACAACATTGTTGCAATTTCCAATGGCATCCTAACAAATCCTTTTACTGATCATTTCCTAGGTTGTAAGTTGCAGTTGATATTTTAGCATACTGTAAATAAAGAGAGAAGAACTTATTTCCTAGGCAGCTGTTGATTGCCCTAGTACTAAACACTATAAAAATGATGGTACCATTTGACAACGTTATTGCAATTTCCAACGGCACTCTTACAAATCCTTTTACTGATCATTTCCTAGATTGCAAGTTGCAGTTGATATTTTAGCATACAGTCAATAAAGAGAGAATAACCTATTCCTTAAGTGATTGCCCCGGTACTGAATTAGACCTGAGAAAGGTTCGGTTAACATCGTTATTGCAATTTCCAATGGCATTCTTACAAATCCTTTCCTAGATTGCAAGTTGCAGTCGATATTTTAGCATACAGTCAAGAAAGAGAGAATAAACTATTCCCTAAGCGATTGTCCCGGTATTGAACTAGACCTGAGAAAGGTTCGATTAACAACATTATTGCAATTTCCAATGGCATTCTTACAAATCCTTTTACTGATCATTTCCTAGATTGGAAGTTGCAGTTGATATTTTAGCATACTGTAAATAAAGAGAGAAGAACTTATTTCTTAGGCAGCTGTTGATTGCCCTAGTACTGAACACTATAAAAATGATGGTACCATTTGACAACGTTATTGCAATTTCCAACGGCACTCTTACAAATCCTTTTACTGATCATTTCCTAGATTGCAAGTTGCAGTTGATATTTTAGCATATTGTAAATAAAGAGAGAATGACCTCTTTCCTAAGCAGCTTTTGGTTGCCTCAGAGTTGAACACTATAAAAACGATGGTACCATTTCATCCTTGTCATTGCTGCTCCCTTCCCTTTCAAAAGGCTTGACAAGGATGCGAATGATTTCTAGGCTCTGGGTCTGTGATATACTTGTAAACACCCATCTTAGTTTACTCCAGGAAAATATACTGCAATATTACGGTAAGGGCAACTCCAGTCTGTACCTTAACCCTTTGAACGCAGCATGAATTCAATTCATACGACTGCCATTCTAAATAACTCTCTTTAATCAACAACAGATAGTCCATCATCGATGCAAAACATGAAAATCATGTTCAAGTACGAGCATGAGTTCAGACAGTCAACAGGGTATCCATGCGGAATAAATCTGAAGCGAACGTAGGTGTTTATTTATCGCTAAATACATTAAATTGACCATTAATAATTCAATCATCATTGCATTCAATTAGTTTCGTTTAGTCTACATACAGTCACTGATGGACTACGTTTAATAATATGGAAGGCAGAGTAAATTGATCAATTAAATCCACATTTCTACCAATACCAGTGCTGCGGTAAGAAGTTTACAACAATTTGCTCTTACATATTCCATTACCGTCGTCAAAAGGGTTATTCTTGGTTTTTGCAAAGTCCAGTCATCTCTTCACTTAGTTCCCACAATTTTTTAGCAGCTCCATCATCACGTCCTTGTGGTAAACACTTTGCTTCTCGACAATCGGCAAAGTACTTACCGGTAACACCATCGATAGATTCATCGATTGCACAATAAATTGATGTTTGTGCTCCTTGCTTTGCCGTTTTCATGAAAAGCCAATAAAGAGGCTGTACTAGAATGTTCAAGAAGCTGTTTTGATAGATTGATAAATGACGAGCAATATCAGTCTTGACTGCACCTGGATGTAATGAATTAGCTGTCACACCAGTCCCTTGTAATCTTCTAGCTAATTCATGTGTAAATAAGACATTGGCGAGTTTACTATGGAAATAAGCCGTGTAAGAATTGTAATTTTTCTTGCCATTTAAATCATCGAAATTCATCTTGCCATGGAAATGCGCTTGTGATGATACTACAACGATCCTACTTGGTGCACATGCCTTTAACTTATCCAACAATAAATTGGTCAATAAGAAATGGCCTAAATGGTTAGTTCCAAATTGCATTTCAAATCCGTCTTCAGTCTCCATATACGGACACCATAAAACGCCAGCATTATTAATTAAAATATCCAGACGATCTTCATTCTCGTTAAAATGATTAGCAAAATGACGTATGGATTGAAATGATGCTAGATCGAGCTTTCGAAAGACAACTTGAGTATTACCGCTTAATTGAATAATTTCTTTGGCAGCTGTCGTCCCTTTACTTTCATTACGACAAGCTACAATAATTCTAGCGCCTCGTTTAGCTAAATCAATGGCTGTTTCTTTCCCGATACCAGTGTTGGCTCCGGTAATAATGACTGTCTTGTTATCCAGACGAGCTTTACTACGACAGATACCACCTTGCACAAAATATCGTAGTAGTCCGAAAGAAATCGCAGTGATACCAACAACAGCAGCAATTTCAGGAGTCGATGGCATGTTGACCATCATTGAGTTTTGCAGTTGCAACGCCGGTAAAAGGACGAGTTTGAATTGCAAATAAACAACAAAATGGCGTTGCTTTAGATAGGGTATAGACGTAAACCAGTCTAAATTAGATTTTACTGTTAAAATACTAGACTGTCTCCTGTATTATTCAACTCTGTTTAGTAGGTTATTTGTTTAAATAGGGTACATAGGCAAGCTAGATCAGATTTTACTGTTAAAATACTACACTGTCTCCTGTATTATTCAACTCTGTTTAGTAGGTTATTTGTTTAAATAGGGTACACAGGTAAACTAGTATGGATTTTACTGTTAAAACCCTAGACTGTTTCCAGCGTTATTCAACTCTATTCATTACGTTATTGAAGCGTCGTTGATGGTAGACTACAGAGTAAGGAGTGGAAAACATCCTAAGGGAAATAAGAGTATTTATTCAGCAACGTTTACTTTCACCAACCAGATAGACATTACAAATGCACAAACAACTAGTGTACATTAGAGTCTTTTACTATTAAGGGTCTGTAGTATACATTCGATCCCTCGACTATTTAGTCAGCAACGTAGACGACGACGAAACAGACAGACAATACAAATGCACAAATAACTAGTGCATATTATTTCGGTTCATGACCTTTTTACAGCATATCCCAAAATCTCTGCATAAGCTTTTAGACTAGTTGTAGCTGACGACTTGGAACAGTCCTGCTTTCTGCTGCCTCCTATTGACCTTGTTAGAAAGAATCGACTTTCATACACTGCCCTTTAGTCAGTTTAGTGCAAAAATCAATCACAACACTCCTTGCTCGAAAGAGCAAGTTGGCATCTGCAGACCCCTCAACAAAGTCGCAATCCTATCGTAGACTGAAAAGGCAAAATTACTGTGGTGTCGTAGTTACTATACAGGATTGAAGAGTCTATTCCACTACTGATCATTAATCTGTCGTGTTCGATCAAAATAGTTTCATTGGTATTACTGGACTGAAAAAGCAAAATTACTGTGGTGTTGTAGTTACTATACAGGAATTAAAAGTCCATTCCACTACTGATCATTAATCTGTCGTGTTCGATTGAAATAGTCTCATTGCTATTACTAGACTGAAAAAGCAAAATTATTGTGGTGTTGGAGTTACTATACAGGAATTAAAAGTCCATTCCACTGCTGATCATTAATCTGTCGTGTTCGATTGAAATAGTCTCATTGCTATTACTTGACTGAAAAAGCAAAATTATTGTGGTGTTGGAGTTACTATACAGGAATTAAAAGTCCATTCCACTGCTGATCATTAATCTGTCGTGTTCGATCAAAATAGTCTCATTGCTATTACTAGACTGAAAAAGCAAAATTACTGTGGTCTAGTTACTATATAGGAATTAAAAGTCCATTCCACTGCTGATCATTAATCTGTCGTGTTCGATCAAAATAGTCTCATTGGTATTACTTGATCAAATCGTCAATATGCTATCGACTACTGAAATTGCAGCGGTTGTTGGGATCGCTGGTGTTTCAATCTTCCTTTTAAGATGCTATTTGAGAGGTGGTTCATGTCGTAGTCAAGCTCGACTGGATCATAAAACAGTTATTATTACTGGTGGTAATACTGGCATCGGTAAAGAAACGGCTATCGATTTAGCTAAACGAGGTGCTCGAATTATTTTAGCTTGTCGTAGTGAAAATAAAGCCATGGATGCTATTAGAGATATTATTAAGTTAAGTGGAAATAGTAATGTTGTCTTTCGAAAACTCGATCTTGCATCGTTCCAATCTGTACGTGATTTTGCCAAGCATTTTAACGAGAATGAAGCTCGTCTAGACATTTTAATTAATAACGCTGGCGTGATGATGTGCCCGTACACGCAAACTGCAGATGGATTTGAAATGCAATTTGGGACCAATCATTTAGGCCACTTTTTATTAACGAATTTATTATTAGATAAATTGAAAGCCTGTACACCAAGCAGAATTGTCGTTGTCAGTTCCAAAGCTCATCGACGTGGCAAAATGAATTTCCATGATTTAAATAATCCCCAAAATTACGACCCTTACACTGCATATTTTCAAAGTAAACTGGCCAATGTTTTATTTGTTCGTCAGTTGTCTCATAGATTACAAGGCACTGGTGTTACTGCCAATTCGTTACATCCAGGCGTAGTTCATACCGATCTTCTTCGCCATTTCTCTATCTATCAAGTCGGCCTCTTCAATTTTTTATTAGCACCCTTATTTTGGCTTGTACTGAAAACATCCAAACAAGGAGCTCAAACCACCATCTATTGTGCAGTCGATGAGTCATTAAATGGAGTAACTGGTGAATACTTTGCTGACTGCCGTCAGAAAGACTGTGCACCGCAAGCTTGTGATGATGGCGTGGCTAAAAAATTGTGGGAAGTAAGCGAAGAATGGACTGGATTCTCGAGTCGGGATTCGTAAAATTATGTGGATCACGATATAAAGTGTATCATTTACATGAATAAAATGCTGCAGAAGCCTTACTACGCCATTCGCTTCTTCAGCCATCAATGACTATGCTATGCTAAAAATTAGGTAGAAGTGTATTTACTACAATTCCTGTTAGTTTCTATTTCAACTACTATACTGTAGATCTGATAGATGTATTCATGGTAAAGGATGACAAGGAAATGATAAATAATATTACCATATTGTCACTCTATGGGCTTACTACAGTAGCAAGGATTTTCAAGATAGAACTTGAATCTAAAACTAAAATGACACCCTTCTTAGTTGTCATTTAAATTCGCAAATTCTGTGGCTGTACGATAGAGAAACAATCCCAATAAAGAAAAGAAAATTAAAATTTACTTAAATGACCGAAATGATTTATTATGCTGATAGTTAATGCTCTCATGCTCATCTAATTATGTTACTTTATGGAACAATAATAAATTCATTTCAACCGATCGAGCACCATAAGCATGTATAGAAGGTAACTGCAAAGGTTTCCATATCCTAATATCTTAACACTTCTACAGTCTACTAGTTCAATACTATGTCGTCATGATAAAGCAATTATCACTGTTGTTGCCCAATTTTTCAACCCTTCTTTCAGGCATATTATGATTACAGTAACACTGTTATAAAAATTCAACACAGGCAGTAATTTTATCCTAATTTAAGACAGCAATTTACCATGAAATATGCCGGTATTATCCAGAAAGCTTTTTGTACACTCCGTATGGAATACTTGCTCTATTGAATCGTGTACGATATCGTTATGACTGCAATCATTATTCGAGTTTTATGTCGTTTATGGGTAGCAGACCAGCAGATCTTAAACAGTACGAACATTTCAATCGAAATTAGCCAAAACTTTGAAAGTATCTTGGAGCTGCTAAAGCTAGCTACTGCTACTTTGTCACAGACTACTACTAGCCCACAGACCATGGACGGTACTGTAGTAGAAGTAGTAATTTATTAAGTAAACAAATGTCAATCTACTTTCGAGAAGAGAATTACTACTGTTTCAAAGTAGTAAGTAAATAATTTCCCGTTAGATCTAGATCACCTAGCTTCTGAAAGCATTCAGTAAGTCCGTTTACAAATTGCAATGCGATCCTATCATACAAAACTCTATTATTCAACATATCTCATTCGCGAGGCTCTACTAGGTGTGCTGTCCCGTATGATAGAAGAACTCCCATAATGTAGTAGTTCATTGAAGGTGATTTCTTCCCTGTATAACAGAATAGGGAAGTAAACGTTGAAGATTTCCCTTTCGATCGTCCAATTCTCATCTAATCTCGACACGTATTCTTTTATCATTAATTGAGCTTAGTTTTCTACGCAGTAGTACAGCAACAAATCTCAACAGTGCTGCAATTAACAATGATTAGAAAATCGATTATAAACGATGACACAACGACTATCTTTTCCTCTTGTACTGTAGATTGAAATATCAAACTGAAACCAAATGGTTAAATATCAAACTATAATCATGACAATTGTACCTGAAATTGCCTCTGCTGTTGGTATCATTAGCATTTTCCTCTTTCTATTAAGATGCTACAGTACATGCAAGGTGGTTCTTGCCGCAGTAAAGCTCGACTCGATAATTAACAAGACTGACTTGATTACTGGTGGCAATACCTGGTATCAGGAAAGAAATGGCTATCGATTTAGGTAAACGAGGAGCTAGGATTTATCGTAGCGTGTCGTAACCAAAATAAAGCAACTGCTGTAGTCAGAAATATTATTGAATTTAGTGAAAGTAATATTATTGTCTTACAAAAGCTTGGTCTTGCATCGTTACAATCTGAACGCAATTTTGCCAACGATTTTAACAAAAATGAAACTCTTCTGGATATTTTGATTAATAATACTGGCGTAATGATGTGTTCATACATGGCCAGACGGCAGGCAGATTTAAAATGCAATGGGGGACCAATCATTTAAGCCACTTTTCATTGATCAACTTACTAATAGATAAATTAAAAATAAATATGTTCGCCTAGTAGAATGGTTGTATTGACATCGAGAAAGCATTTCTTTGCCAAGATCAATATTGATGTTTTAAATGGTCAAAAAATTACGGTTCTCACACTGCTTATTTTCAGTGTTAACTGGCCAATGTTTTATTTTACTCGTGAATTGGCTCAAAGATTAGTGGGTACAGGTGTTACAGTCAATTTGTTGCATCCTGGAGCAGTCAATACAGGTCTTTATTATCATTTTTCTATACAGCAAATCGACATCTTAAATATTTTAACAGCCCTTTTTCTATGGCTTCTTCTGAAGACATACAAACAAGGAGCTTAAACTTCAATACATTGGGCAGTCAATGAATCTTTAAATGGCATTACAGGTAAATACTTTGCTAATTGTTATCAAATAGGCTGTGCACTACAAGCGATGATGATGGACTTGTTAAAAGTTATGGGAAGTAAGGGAAGAAATGACTAGACAATCTAACCAAGACTACTTACATTACGCGTAATTTAATCCTGATAGAGTCCACAATTTTCGTTCCACCAAGTTGGCTGTATATAACATTCGATACATCATAGTTGAAGCCCATAAACGAACTATATAAAATCTTTTAGTTTATCTTGTTTTAAAACATATCACCTTGAAAATTGCTATTTATGAAAAGGTTTTAGCTTAAACCTACAATTAATTCATTCATTAAATTATCAAATAGTGTATAGGTCATTAAATTATAATTGAATGTGAACTTAAGTAGCTTCGAACTATTTTAGTTACACCTACTGAATTATGCAAGCAATATCAAGTCTTTTGCTGCTTCAATATTTATTACCAAGTCTATGGATTATGTATGATATTATCAGAGATGCATTAGTTAATTACGAGCTTTGTTTATGGTAGATTTACAAAATTTTCTTCTTTCTTTAAAAAGGTATTTATCACTAAAGATATCAGTATTTAAAGTTCCATGAAAACGATCAATAAAGCATTGTGCTGCACCTTTGAGTCAACAGGCGAACATTTTAGTAATCCAAGACGAATTTTAAAATGTAAGAGATGCAGCATTTGAATTATGCAATATTTATGAACATTAATAAGAGTCACGATAGAAATATGCTAAAATTATAATTTAAATGATTACAATTGATGCGCTGGAGTAGTGTTGATTGATATTGGTGTTATTACAGTATAATTATTATGCCTATATTATTAACGAAAATTAAAGTTGCATTTCTTCCACTTGCGTCCTGACAAGTTAGAAAGGTTGTTAAAGTTCAGAAGTACGGTACACAGGTCCAATGATACAGGTTGTGATGGGACTATAATTTAGGAACTATCTTATGCTTGTTAAATATCTAAAATGTTTTACCTTTCCTGAACATTGTGCAAATTTAGGACATAAGCTAAGCATATAATTAATCAAACCTTAATTACATATTGCGCATCATAACTTTGTCGTACATAAATTTTGAACCACTCAAGTATAGAAACCTTTTCAGTTTATTCGTAATATCTGTAGGGATAACACACAAAATAAAGCCAGAAAGTTACTTTATATATTTCAATTCGAACATGAAACTTGCAAATTTTTTCTTGAATACATAATCTGAGATGTGAGGATAACACATATATAAAGCCAGCAAATTACTTTATATTTTCAAGCTGAACAAAAGATTAGTAATTCATCCTAGTAATCCGAGATATGGAAGTAACTTTGAAAATGCAACTCTAGTTGGGACAAAATAAATATTCATAGATATTGCATAAATTATACTAGACAAAAAATTTCTACTAAATAAATAAAATAAAAATAATGTTGCATAAACGGCTACGTTAACGGAATCATCAGTGCATAGAAAACAAATTTTAATAAATGCCGTAAGAGAATTTGTTCATTCATTGACATTGTTACATCTCAGCTTATTCCAAGATGCTCGCACACTTTTAACAGTATTAGCAAATCAAATATCTCACATTCCAAAAATGAATGCTTACATTTGTGCAGAAAAGACCAACTTATTTATACTATTTTACTTTATCCTAAATGGAGCCAAATATACTCTCAATAAAATGTATACCTTCTGATATAAATAAAAAATTATAAGATTCTGCTAATTCTGTATTACCATCTCGAATGATAAATCTCTATTACAAAGCTAAAATACTACTTCTAAATTTTTAATTTCTGTTTCTAACATTTTCCCAAGAAAGGAATAACATAGTTTATCACTTTTTAAAATTTTGAGGAATGTTGCAAAGGCTGCCATATTTCGTTGACATATGAACTTCAGCAGCCTTTCGTTTTTTGTCGCTGCTCTTCTATACTGATCAGTTCTTGCAATTCTATGATTGTTAGAGTCTTTCGATTATAAAGTTCAACTGCAATATCATTGCTAGGCATATGACGAACTAATTCGCCCCCACAAGTGTTTAGAGTATTTTCTTGTAGAGAACCAATAAGCATCATCTTGGGTTCTAGGAAATTAATAATTTGGCTTGAAATTAGCTAGCGATCACTACTGTTATAGTCTATTCGAGTTATTACTATTTGATATGACTGGTACATTATTAAAATAGAGAATGTATAATGAAATAACATCGGCAGTAACAGACTAAAGAGTTGCGAATCTGATAACGATTTAAAAATTTAATGCTATATCAATACTAATCTTTATTACCTATATTTGTTTCGCTATCTTGCGATTGAATATTATACAAGATTGATTTATCATCAAGGGAAATAAATTGCTTTGTTTCCGTCAAAATTTTGTCTCTTAAACTTTGTACACCTTGAACTGAATGTTGACTCATCAATTTAACTAAAGTAATAAAATGTTTATCTTGTCTATTTTTCAAAATAGAAAGAGTTAGGCAGACTTGATCTTTGACATGAGATTATTTTCGTAATATAGTCAGTTTTTGATGATTGAATGTTTTACGAGCAGCCAAGTCTGCATAGAATTCACTTACTGGCACATCAGTCTATTCGTTTAAATATTTATCAATAATTTGGATCAAATTCTGAGAGAGAGGCATTTTAGCAGTAGAGTTGTACCCTAATGCAGATGAAATTATAGAGTATCAGTCAAGATTTGAGATAAGATCGATAATTTTGGACGTTAATGGAGATGGCTAAGGTATTTCTATTTACATCCTTTGCATAATACCACACTTACGGGCGTGTAGCTTACTTTGCAGATTTGTTGGGCGTAGCTCACTACGTTACTATGGCAATAATGGTCTACAGTAACCCAATTCTTTCATACTAGCGATGGACTACTACCCCATGAACTACTAGCCCATGACTAGGTCTATAGCGCTGTTTGCGGTATTCGCTTCAAATGACTGCCATATAAAGTTCTACCAACGACAGAATGCGGTACGACTACAGTTAGAAAGAAACCTTGGAGCAGAGAGCAACATACAAAACAATGAGAGCATTTCTAGACTCAAGGTATCATTTACTTTTTTATTGCAGTCAGTAATCCATCCATGGCCTAATGGCTATATCGTCATTGGCTATTGGACTTGATTTTACTCGACTGTTGACAGCATACCTCTACCAGCAATGGACTACTCCATTCTCCAGCCACCTGTAGGCCGTAGGATTGAGTTGTCTATGACTGCAGATCTACACCAAGCAATTAGTGTCAACAAAGTCATAAGCTGGTGACACCTATGGACTACTAGAAAAAGCTGCAACTAACAGCTTCTTTCTATTATAACTGTGCTATAGAATAGTAATTCAATACTGCTCTCTAACCCTAACCCTAACTCTAACCCTAATCCAAACCCTAGCTGCTGCCAGCTAACTCGGTGTGCCGAATATTATTTTATATACGGTTCAGTATCAGAACAGACTTCATCACCATGAACGGACGTACAGACGACAGTACTGCACAAAATATTTATTTTTTAAACTGTACACTGTACAGTACGTAGAGCAGAGACTGTAATGCGATGGCATGGTTGCCATAGGAACTAAAGTAAATGATGATGCTAGATTATACTTGGGTCTTCTCTCCAATCTAGTGACTATTTAAATCGATAAGATACTGTACACGAATTTCCAAAGAAGAGGTATCTATCATTCAACGTCGGTTAGACTATTTTCCTTGTCAAAGAACGACAGTACACGAAGGTAGAAAAGATCATCAACAAGAAAAAGCATGGCTGTTAGAGTGTTTATTGATAGCGTAGATTCCTACGCCGGTAAAGTGGTTAGTAAGGTAAGAAATATATTGATCCCTTTCATTATCAGTTAACTTTGAATCATATAAGCTACGAAAGCTACCAAGTCTAATATCGAAATCTACATCATATTACAAATGTCATAATTCCACTCGATAGTTGAAAGTCATGAAATGAAGAATTATTATTAAAACATAGATGTCATCAAGAACGGATAAGTTGACGGGGTTAATTTGTTCTTTTAATTTAAAGTTAATATCCAATTCCGTACCTGGGGCGACACTTGCTGATATTGACGATGCTTCAGAAGGCTCACAAGCTGATTACAACCGCAATGAATCCAAGGAAAATACTTACGAAGTCATTGGCACACTTAAGGTTGAAGGAGCAAAGAAACCGAATTGGGTAAAAGAGATTGTATCGGTGAGTAGATTAAGCTTCTTGTCACTGTATACAAGGAAGGAGAGTTACCTACTCAAGACTATCTCTTACCTTGAAAATTATTCTATTTTAACATTAATCAGGAATCTAAGCAGGAAGATTTATTCTCCGCTTTAAAAAGTTGCGATATTATCGTCTATAATATATCTGAAGATCCGTCATTGGTCGATCAAGCATCCTGGGCGGTGTCTGGTAAGTTACGGCAGATATAGGATTCTTTTAAATTCTGCTTTACTCTTCTATGTGTACATTATTACCTTGATACTATCATCAGCCGTTAGTGCTGTAATAAATTTTAAGAGTTATTGATAAGGCTATTTAAATTTTAGTTGTTTTACCTGATTGCCAAGTTTAATAAATTTATTTGCTATCACATCATCAATATCTCACCTATTGATGATAATTTAGTAACTTGCTTCGACACAATTTATTGAATTAAAATTCGTTACTTTTCTTCAGCATTACACGCAGAAATAGAATCCTTTACCAGAATGAAAACTTTTATCTGCATATCAAATGCTATGACTTGGGCTCGTACTCGACCAATTGATCTCGTAAGATTCATGTTTTTCGACCATAATACCTATTTCTATACGTAAAAAGATAGCCTGACATGGTAATGCTCCAATAATTAGGATGATCCGGAAGTACCTTTTACTGAAGATGACTACCGAAGACGTAAGCCACATCAAAATTATAAGGCTGAAATTAGGTACATCCAGTAAATGATAACTTAAATTTAGATAGTTATATACCGCATCTATAGATGTGGAAATGATTATAATTTATATATCTATAATTTACATAATATAGTCTAGAGAAGCTGGTTGTTAAGCTAGGAAAAACGGTAAGAAAGTATAATATTTATTATTTAAACATCATCAGGATTGAAAATGTAGATGATTATAATAACAATTACAATGATTTAATCTGATGCACTTTACCACAATTCATTATCACAGAATAAAGAGCTATTTTCAACGTTTATTATAATGAGTGGGATGCTGTATGGATGTGGAGAAAGTTTATTCCATTATTTATTTAAGGTATGTTCATACGCAATGATCAGCAAGATATTCTTACATTTACTTGAGTAAACGCTTGTTTATTGTAGGCTGCATGGTTAAATCATCCATATTTGCAATGCTATGGAAATGGTCAAAATGTTATCCCAACCATCCACGTCAAAGACTTAGCAAGTATCATTTTGAATGTTATGGATGGTAACCCACGAGTGAAATATATAATAGCCGTAGATGATTCACAATCTACACTTGAGGAAATTGTTCGGGTGAGTAAATGATTACAGTATTATATAATAGTACATGTGTAAGTCGAATTCAATGGTAATTTATTGCTTCTCTGTTGGCATAATATTGTGGTAGTTGACCATTGCAATCATTTTGCAAAGGTATCAATTTAGAGATTTAATTCCGTAAACATGCTGTCCCTTTACACTCTAGTAAAAGATTAATGCTATTCTTTGTTACAGTAGACAAATCTAAAAGTAAGCGAGAGTACAAAAGTTATTTGCTATTTTATTCTAAATCATATTGCCAAATTAGGCCGTAAGCATAAATTTAGGATCAGGTAAAGTCAAGAATGTCACGAAAGAAGAGGCCATTTCGGATAAAAATATTGAGGTAAAAATTAGCGCTACTGAGAGAAAAATAATCAAATTGTGCTATTGTCAATTTATTCTGTTTAACGTGATGTGTCCAATACTTCCTAGAAAGCGGATTTTGACAAATTATTAGTCAGCTTGCGAATGGAATCGACAACTGCAAAGGATTTAAACGTTGAATGGGTGGCCGAAGTAAGCTAATCTGATTAGAGATATTATTTAAGTCAATAAATTTAACAAAATTAATGCTAATCTAACTTGTTTAGACTGGCTTAGTGGATAATATTGAGGGTGTCATCAGAGAATACAAAGAAGAAAGAAAATTATTTGTAAGACATTAATATGAATTGAAAACGTATATTTCCTTATTATACTTTTTCATTACTAAGGTAAGATCGACTAATTTTCTAATGGTTAATTTTGTAGCCTTTACGTATGTTTGTGTTTGGACCTCCAGCTGTTGGTAAATCTACTATCGTCGAACAGCTCTGTAAACATTACAAATTACATCACATCAAAATGACTGAGGTCATTCAAGATGCTATTTCTGAGTTGGTAAGACATGGTTCAGATATAATAATTAAGATTTTATTTTTCTTCTAATGTTAAGTACAGTATATTGTTACTAGTGAAAGAAACCGATGAGTCTTTTAACTAATTATTGAATGCTTGTAGGAGCGTAGCGCTGCCAGAGCAGATATTGAAAATGAAGATGAAGAAGATGATCAGAGAGCTCAGGAAGATCAAGAATTATTGGAAGCATTACAAGAGAACAGAGAGCAGAACAATGGTATCTTACATCGTATTATTATTTTATCTTCATACTAATCTATCTTAAACAATTTTACCGATGTATAAAAATTATGTAGAAATTATTATAATAAAATGTCAATATGTTTAAACAACCATTAGGACGATACGATGATCAATTTGTTGTTCGGTTTTTTCGTCAAAAGTTAAAATCGATGCCATGCCAAAATCAGGTATGTTTCGTAATTATGAATATTATTGCATAAAGTATTTCATAAATCTAAACTTTGCTGCTGAATTGTTTCAAATAATGAGTCTGAATCAAATGGACTTGATTAACATAGAGTAAGCCTATCTAAGAATACGAGTATTTTTTCTACTTTTTTAATAGGGCTTTATTATAGATGGCTATCCTAAGCTGTATTCGCAAGCTCAAGAGTTATTTGCATGTAAGTTTCTTAATAACAAACCAAGAATAATGATAATGCGAATCAATTCATACACTACAAAGCTAAACTTGAATGCTTTTTATTATAGCTGAAGAAGACGAGGATGATACTGAAGAAAATTTACCTGAATATGATGCCTCTATCATGCCAGGTATGCACCAACAACGTTTTAGCTTCGATATATCATTTTCAAAAATTGCAAAGTAAGCTAACTAGATGCTCCTGCATTGTACAGAGTTTATCATCTCGCTTGATGCATCGGATGATTTCTTAAAGAATCGAGTCATCAATTTACCAGAAAAAGAAGTTCATGGCTCTCATAATACCGAAGAAGGTAAGTAACGAAGTTGCTTTCATACTTTGTTAATTTTATCGAAGTTTTTCAGGACTTAAAAATAAGCACTATTATACAGGATTAATCAGAAGATTAGCTCGATACAGAGCAGAAAATACGGAAGATGAAACTGTGTTGAATTATTTTGATGAGCTTGAAATTCATCCGGAACACTTTGGTAAATATGTAATAATATGATCAAGGTTTACTCGATAGTCATTTATCGTCGAAAAATAAAAATTTGGCGTATATTTCCAAATTGTATTCTATAATATTCATTATTCAAAACGAGGAGAACAAGATAATTTTCCAATATGTACGGTAACTTCGCTTCGGTACACTTTAAACAATACAATTCAGATTTTGATCAAGTTTATTTCTTAAATATACTTTCGTCATAATTGCAGTTAATTCTGCCTTTAGTCGTTCGTAATGCTAAACTCTGACTACCTAAAATAGATCTAAAAATTCATACTTGTGGGAAGCGATAAAATACTTTTAATTGATAATTAATCTTCTACAAGATAGTTAATAGTTCCTCAAGCTAAACTCCTAAACTAACATAATGATGATAATCAGTTAAAATGTTTCAAGTTTGTGCTAGCATCCTTAAATCTAAGTTCTTATAGCTGTAAGAATTTGAAGATTTAGTGTATATTACCTCATACTGATGGTCTACTCTGAGCCGAGTCTGCCTTAACATTCTAATTGTGAATCTTCATATCTCATCCTAATATAACTAGATGTCACCGATGATGATTCTCCTAAAGCTTTGAACACTGTCAAAGCAATTATAAAGCTTATTGGAGAGCCACGAAATTATGGTTTGTAATAGTGTAGTCACTACCTGAAATAGAAATATAATACATCAGTTTAATAAACTATTGGTTTTTGTTTTCTCAGTCATAATAATTTGGTCATCAATTTCTTATATTTTTAAATACGAAATTCTTTAATTGTATTTTCAGGTCCAACTGCCGAAGAACTAGAAGAAATTAAACGTCGAGAAGAGGAAGAAAGAGTAAGCGTCAATATAGATTAGAGTAAAATATTTGCCTTGTTACTCAAAGAAACAAAGTATAACAAATAGTCACTTTAATGTCTGTATAGGAATTAAGAGAAGCACAGGAAAAGATTGAACGAGAAGAAAAAGAAGCCAGAGAAGCAGAAGAACGAGCTATACGACAAACCGAATGGGTAACTGATTTATGATAATATCTTTCATAGCTTCAGCTTCAAAGCACCTGTATACTTGTTATCTACTGCTACTGTACAGTAAGTATTTATCTCTGCACTGCATTGACTGTTGCAGAAACAACGATTAGACGAAGTTAGAAAACAGGAAAAGGAATTGATTGATACCCGGTCAATTCCGTTAAGAAATTATTTGATGAAACATGTTATGCCAACATTAAGTGAAGGTTTAATTGAATGCTGCAAGTCCAGACCAGATGATCCTGTTGACTTTTTGGTAAGTTTCCCTAAATAGTATACGAATTTATCGCCAACATAAGCTCATCAAATGATTTCAATTTCAATTTCAGGCTGAATATTTGTTGCAAAACAACCCAGTCATCGATTGAATTAACTTGAAAATGTGGATCACCAGCAGAAAAACGATCACTGCAAGGCAAAATATATTGTCAAAACCGTATTATTAATGCCTATACCTACATGAATCTCCTTAACTTAATGCAATACATTTTATGACAACAAATAGATACAAGTATTTGTTCATTACCTCACAATCTGGCCTTAAATTGCTACCATAATAATCGATAATTCATAAGAATTTTGATTACCCTATACGCTTTTATTTCGTATATTATGGTAGGCTGACATTAAATAATTATTGTTCATGCTGGAAAACGATAACGATATCATTATGCCATGGGTAAAGAATTCGGTCTATCTCAATCTTGCTGCTGCTATGTTTAGGATACACTAATTACATCTTCTTACTAAAGTAATGTAAAAACATCGAAATCTAAGATTATGTAGTCCAGATTACATGTACTCGATTTTATTCCTAGTAATTTGACTTTGTGTCACAGTTTCTCTAACTCCTTCACGCAGCTTGGCATACATAAGGTAGAAATACATTTAACCTATAACGATCACTAATCAGCTTTACTATTCTCTTATTATTGATATAAGTTTAAACGTAAATCTAGCAATAACACCTTGGGATGTTGCATCCAATTTTATCGTAGATTGTAATTGTAATATAAAAATATCTACATGCAATATAAAATAGGGTGAACATCGTTTTTGAAGGGCTCTTCTTTGTCGATGCTTCGTCAGATATTATGACCCTAGTCGATTTTGTAAACGAGTATACAATTGATGTTGTTAATGTAAAGTTATTGGTTATTAAAGCCTTTGATTGCACTTACGATGTACAATCGTAATGGTAATAAAACCTTTATTTTGATTGTACTTATCGCAATTTTTGGTGTTTATTTATTTATAAGTAAGCAGATTAATTAATTATCAATCGGGCATCCACGGACGAAATTTTAAAAAATAAAGTCGTCAGTGTTTTAATTCGTCTCAGGCTTATCGCTGCGACTTCGTCTAATGTATGCTAGATATACTTTTTAATGCTATAATTGTCCCGATAGTCAATTAATACTTCCATCTTGCTATAAATACTACTGACGATTAGATATTTTATGATTCGTAGGAATGTAATAAAATATTGATAATATGTTTGCATTAAGACTGATTGGCGTTATATGATATCGCATTACTACGAACTGGATAGATAATAGGAATATCAAATTTATAATATTATTGCCTCTGTAATTAGAAGTTAACTTTACAACTTTGCCTACAGAAATATACGGTAATACAAGTAGAAGCTATCAACAATGTTATCAACAGTTACGTTCTTAATCTATAGTGTAAATGTCAATTTCGCATTAACTGTACGCTTACGTTTGCATTAATTTGTTCATTTTCGTAAAACTATTATATAAGTAATGGATAAGCAATCTTGCAAGTCAAACGTTATGTAGCAAATACGAGCAAGGAAAATCGAGGAGAATAAATAAATCAAGCTTTTTAAAAAAGTAAAAGAAGTATCATGTTTTGTATGATTACCAAATCAAATATAATTGCTATCCGATATCATTAGTTTTTGATGAACATCGATGTTAATAAGTACAGTATTAAGATAATGGGCCAGTGGCTCCTAACTACAGATTAAGAGGGTACAATAAACTCGTACATGATAACTAGCCAAGTGTAGTGCATACCCAAACAAGCTCAAGACTAAGATTATAGAATTGTACAAAAATAGATAAATTGTATGCTAGATTGGAAGATTGTATAAGTGTCTAATAGTGGAAGATGTATACAGTACGTATTATAATAATAGATTGCGCTAAGTATGTTAGTATTGTGAGATTTACATTGTGACGCTTTAATTAGAAGCGCGAATCACGAATTGATAGCTAGATATTAAGCTTAGATACGATCTTGTGACTTAATTGGTAAGATATGATTGTATTTGAAGGGAAATTATTGTTTAAGTACTCTTCATTATATATAAATCGCGAATATTGCTGTATTGATTTAGATAGTCTAAAAATAGTCTGATTGCAGATAGAGAGTCCTTGGTAGTTGTAAGATGAACCTAATCTTATGTAATTAAGTGAAATCTATAAGAAGCTGTAGTTCTTATTATATTTTTGAGAAGACACTTTATCACACCAAGTATAGTATTATTTACGTCAAATTGCATTTGTTTTTGGCGACGACTTGGGCATTTCTATACTACTCATATTTAAACACTTTTGAGTACTGTATCGTCTATTAATTATTTAAGTATAACATTCTTTAACAAAACAACTAACTTTTAATTAATCTGCTATATTGATAGTAAATGTGGATGGTGGGTGACTAGATCTTTAGCTGTAGCTAATAGGTTCCTTTAGTCAGGTTCTGATGATAAATAGTAAGATGGCGGTACCACCTTGTAGGAGACGAGTAGTGTAAATGATACCATAGTTAGATGTAAAATAGTCGAGTGCTATTAGTAAATAATGTAGAAGCGGTAGCTATAACCTTAAATGAGAATGTGAGCGGCCTCTTTTGTAGCGAGTTCAATCTGAGATCTAGCTATACATAGAATACCTTGTCTAAGTTTACTACTGTAATAGCCAACAATAAAGTTAAATATTAAACTGCTTTTATCTGTAACTATTAGGAGACAATGTATTAAATGGACATTCTATAGCAAGGATAGAATTAGTATATATTACAAATTTCAATATTAATCAATCAACTTCAACAGTGGTCTATTTGTTAGTGCTGTTGGGTTCGTGAAGTTATTTCATTAAATGAATCATACAAATGGCTCTCACTATTGATACGGTTAAATATCTCTCGAGAATGCTTATATAGTTGCATAGTAGCTCATAAATTATACAGCTTACTAGTTGATACTCTTGCGACAAACTATTATCGGATTCTTTACATCTTCTTTCATTAACTGATTAGTATTATTGTATCTAAAATCACTTAAATTAAATCTCGATCATTTAGCGTCGCGATATCAATTGCGTACGTAAAACGCTCATCTTTCTCAAATAGCACTATATAATTAGTAATGAGTTTAGAATGCATATCTTCATCGCTACACAGAGTGATATTCCTTTTATTTGTATTTTAGACTCAATCCGAGTCTTTGCTGAGTCGGCGTTGTTGACGAAGTTACAATATGGCGTCCAAGTTCTCTATATTGTGTCGATTTCATGTCATGCTATGGTATATGGTTAGCTGTTATCGTTAAAATAAAGTTGTATTTCATTGTATACCGTACATCGTTTCTTACGTAACGAAGAGATATTTTGTTTCTACAACTAATCGTAAAATTACAAACTACTCCTAATACATTAGCTAGAAATCATTATTATTTCATATTTAATATCCAATATTTCGTAAATTTAAATCCTTTGAGCTACACTTTTCCATCGTAGCCGTATATATCCTTGATGCTTTATTCTTCTTATTATTAAACGACCTTTCAATTTCAACTTCCGTTCAATTAGTGATGATATTTATTTTACTTGAACAATAAATACTAGAAATACAGCTAGATGTTATATTTAAAGTCACATTACTATCAACAAAGGTTAAAGGTTAACATTAATATTTGATCTTTTGCTTCGATAATTTTAATTTATGAATTGTAGTAAAATACTATTCCCCTACTACTATGTGCAAAATTACGGAGGATAAATACTATTAATAGGGCTACTATTTAATGGTATACACAAGTTAACTATGGTACGCTGGAAAATACTCGTACAAAATTTTATCCTTGCTAGCTGATAATAATATTCATTATTTGAAACATTTTGCAGTCAGTTCTATTTTGAAACATTTCTGCTATCTTTTGTAAAAATTTAAATATTCAATATCAAACACAGGTCACAGTCACTATAGAATAGAGTAAAAAATAAACCAATGAGCGCACTAATTTGTACTTTTGCATACAAGAGTCATTAGTGTATTGCGTATCACGATGTTTTAACCTAATTTCTTAATTTAGGAGCTATATTTGAAAGTGAAATGACCCTCCGATAAAAAGTTTGGTTACGTAATAATTTTGGCCATACATTTAGAAAATTGCCAATTCTTTAATTAATCCGTCGCATTACTAGTGAAAATTATATTTTATTTATTATACTTAGTCGTGCAATCTTCGTAGTAGTCGCCGATTCGAGATCAAAGTTCGTTTTTATTTGTCTCCAGTTCCTTAAATTAAATTTCATTAATTAGTAGCTAATTTGATTATCTAGATTAGATACGAACAATCTCATTGATCAACTTAATAATATAAGCGACCCCACACAGCAATAGATATAAGCTTCTAAATGACGGGGAATCGACAGTTGTAAGGTTTGTACAGCTCGTACTAGGGTCGATATTATTTGCTAGGAGAACGCCGACGGTGCAATTGTTTTAAACTTAGTAAAATATCGTACTTGTAAGACATTTAGCATTAATTTTTTTGGAGAGCTATGGTAGCTAATCGAAAGAACTTATGGTTATATATTATTAGCAAGCTATCGCTGAAGCATTAGGTATTTATTTCAATCCTGGATTATCCTAACAGTTTATACAGATACTGATATATTCATTTAAATTGAGAAACTTTACGAAGTAGAAATTATTGAGTAAATTAGACGTCCATCTTAAAAAATAAATATCATTATGGGCACTAGCTTTAATGATACAATCAACAGCACACAAGCACTTACTGCCGCTGTGACAATTAATTGCTATGAGCAAATCATGCAGACGACGTTCATCATTTCAGTTACTATCTATGTGTTACTTATTATCATAGCAATACCTGGTAACTTGTTGATCTTATGGATAACTTTAATGAACAGGCATCTGCGGACACCAACCAATTTATTAGTTTGTAATTTAGCCTTAGCTGGATTACTGATATCAAGCATAAGGATACCAATTCGAATTTGTCAGCTTCTTTTTTTAATCCAAAAACCTACTATATATCCGTTTAATATCTATGTATGTAAAATGTCTCAAGTTCTATCATTAGCAT